TTGCAACCCATTCCACCGATTATTTTTAAGAGGACTTCGTAAAAAAGTGCTGTATTTTCACTGGGGGGTTCAGATAACTGGAGGGCAATGTGGTCGAGGATTAGACGGTGCATTGTTGCCCAACGTGAAGCATTTTCAGGAAGAAGACGACCACAGAGTGCAATGAAAGTATCACTAGGAATGAGGGCAGATGAAATAAATCAGCTGAATAAAAACAGAAGCAAGAAAAATAATGTATTAAAACAAAAAAACTAGACCTTTAAACAAAAAGCAAGTGTATTCTTCTATTGATAAAAAAATTGGTTCAATGTTCAGCTATATGGGGTGTGCGATAGACTTACCTCCACGTGGTGCACCCTGGGCAACGTATACTGATACGGCAAAAAAGTCTATTAACCGGCAGTTGACTTCTGACTTCAAACTACCATCACCACACTGTATTTCATATTCGACTACTTCACAGTACTGACCTCACCTTTTTTCTACCTTTTCTACCTTCGTCTTTGAAACACTCTTCTGGCCCCCCCTCTCCCACCTCTCGCCTTTTTTTCACTTTGATTTTCCTTCCCCTTTGTGAAGCCTGAAGTCAACTAAATGGCTAATGATAACCATCAAAACGTCTGCCATTTAATATAAATAAATAAATGTTCAGCTATATAAGGTGCAATTGCCGAGAGAATGAGGAGATTAATGAGAAATTGAGAGAAAGAGGTGATCAATTTAGATTGGAGAATCACCCCTAGCATGTTTCCTACCGTATTTTTAGAGCCAAGAGGTGCCTTAAGTTGATTTTATTTGTGTTTAGGCGTTTGCGTTTCAACCCACTCCCCGGTCTAAAATATAAATTGACCCACTCACAATACTTGGCATAAACAGTCGGGAGAATGGTTGCAGTAACTTCCCCAAAACTCGTAACTCAAGCTCTACAAGGTTGACTTTTAATTAATTTTTAAAAAAATCCTAAGACGATATTTCGGCCATAATAAAACATAAGCTGATGTGAGGAGCTTAATTAATCATGGACTTATCGGCAGGGATATTTATTATTAGCGGGGCGTAGTAAAGGAGAGTTTGATTTTGTCAATGAAAGAGATTTCAGATCGTATAATGAGAGACTTGATTAAAACATTAAGAGAACAGGCGTCTCAATGGCTAGCACCTCCAAAGTTAGAAGCCATGGCTAAACCCAAATCAGAGCATCATCAGTGAGCTAAGTCAACAACCTTGAATACAATTAACAATGGGAGGAATCAAGGGTTCCGGAAAAAAACTCCGCCGCCCAAAATGAGAGTAAAAAGATACATACTTCCCATTAATGACACCTCTGCGCCTAACTTGGTGCTCACACATCTGTTACATAACGCTCCTCTTTACAAATTAATTAAATACTCTTCAATAACAAAATTGAGGGGGAGGGAATACTTGTGATGACATACCTCAACTGCGCAACAACCTGATATTCCACCTTTGCTATCCATGACAACACGGTGAGAACAAAGCTCTTAATCTCTTCCTCACTGCAAATATCCCAAGACAAATGCTGAGCAGCATGCAAAGACAGTTCAATCTGAAGAGGTAAATTCTCGTCCATTAATTCTAACAACTTCCTTATAATAGACATCTTGAGAGTTCGAGAACCCGAAGCTGCAGTTGTCGATTTACATTTGTGACATCTTCTACACCTGTCCTTCACAGCGGTAGACCATGAAACGCAAATTGCAATTCTTGAGAGGCTCAAAAGACCGTTCAAAACGGTCGAATTTCCAAGTTCTACGTCTGATAAAGAACTACCAAGATTGGGGTAAAGAATTGAAAAAGTTACCCAAGAGTGGTTTCAAAAAGTGGAACTATGCTTTCACTCCAAACAAATCTATCCAGTGTCGGAGTATCTTCAATCCAATAGAGATTTCCTTGAATCAACACCTTATTCAGTAGTAATGGCAAGAAGTCCATATCATGTGGCTCAATCCCTCTAGACTTCAAAAACGTTAATAACAGAAGAGAAGCTCTAAGAGAAATAGCCAAAAGATGGGTGTTCATATCCGACGATGAAGAGAGATTTTCAAAGAACTTCCAGAGGCGTTTCAGATCGTTCAAATCTAGCTCGCGCAAAAGATCCCCACTTAGCGAGGAAGCGAGAAGATCTGAGAAGAGATTGATTCTACCAACAAGATCAAGAAAACTCGATTCCACATCCTGAGTAGTCGGGATGAAGGCTGAAATCAAATTGGAGACAATTGAGGGAAGGGTTGCTATAACTGGATCATACCAGCATTGATCTAGATCAATACACCGAACAAAAGCTGAGGTAATCAATGACAAGCTGGGCCAATCTGGAATGTTAAGTAAAAAAGAGTTAAGATGCAGTTGTAAATTAGTCACGCCAATTCGATTGAAAGCCACAGCAAAGAAGTCGATAGCCTGATATCGAAATGCTTCCTTGTCAGCACAGCTGAAAACTTTCTCATCTGCATGGAAGAGCATACATTCCCGAAATTTTTGATCTTGAATTAGACAATCACACAGCTGGACGTGGATTGGCGAAATTTCAGGAAAAGATGAAGAATTTTGGCAAAAGAATTTCATTAAAGCCGAAGTCAAACATTTGTTTCGAGGAAGTTTACTCCCAGAAAGACTGATAAAGGTAGATTTGTATGTCTACGTAAAGAAGAAAATTAGAAAGTCATCAGCAATTTACCTCAATCATCTCAGAGAATTCATCAGATGAAGGCCCATTCCAGTTATTCTGGTTCATAGAAATTAGTTGGCAGACACGGCTGATTAAGTCACAACAGGAAAGAACCAATTGTTCTGGCATTTTCAGTTCGTAGAACAGGGCCATACACTTGTGTTTCGATTCAGAAAGGAAGGTGAGACATTTTAAACTACTGGAAGAAAGTTGAAACACTTTAGATAAAAGGGAGGGAGAATGTAATTCCTCTGTGCACAATAGAGCGTCAAGACAACATGATACAGCCCTCGTGCACTCAAGTTTTCCGTTTAAATCAGCAAAATCAATAATTTCAGCGAGAATATCGAAAATTCCCTCAACCATTGATGGGCGCATAGCAAGAAATTGTGATATACACGAAGATATTACTTGGCTGAAAATCAATTAAAAAATAAAAATATGGCAAACTACCAAACAATGAACATGAAATTGTAAGCCTCGACGACGGATGATATTTCGAAATTTTGGGGACGTAGAGACATGAGAATGTTTCCTATTTTGATTTCCTTCTTTTCAATAGGATTTGGTAACGAAAATCGAAACAATCTAGAAGGATCAGCCTCGCGTTTTTCTCCATGGATTGACAAGCGTTGAACCAAAACTAGTTTAAATATTCATAAGGTAAGGGGAAACCAACGATAAGCTAAAGAGAGCACAGCATCGATGTATGAATCTGAGTAGGCGCTAGATATGCGCTCTGCACTAAAAATGATTCTGCTAATGACGGAAGCAGCAGCTTCTTTATAATAGCCTTTAGATCCAACGAACAGAATACAGTGAAGAGTCCATGCAATAAAATCTATTAATGAGTTATATGAACAAAAAAGATTTTAATATACCTCTGATATCATCCTTTGTGCTTTTAAAATCAAGTAAAGCGTGATGACAGTTAAAGGATCTTTCAGTTTTAATGAAGAATTCCAGAAGATCCACACCGCCGTTGTAATTTCGCTGAATAATTTTCGAACATATTGAATTCAGAACGCGATAAATGTGCTCCAACAGGTGTTCTATATTATGCCTTGATGAGTTGCCATAAATTGATGATTTAACCTTACTCTGACACCATTACAAGGCATATTAATTAATTATTTTTCGAATTAGACGACAGCCACGTTAATTCCAAAATTGCTCTTTATTATGAACACATGCAAATCCGCTATGACCTTGCAAAAACCGTAGAGAAAAAAATACTTCTTGATTACCACCTTCATTTATAATATTTTAATTAATTTTATTGAGAAAATATATTTATTTTTAGCAAGGATTGATAATTTTTTAATAAGTTAATTTTGAGCTTTCATTTGCTTTAAAGTAAAAAAATGTATAAATTTTTATAATGTTTTACAAACATTTCCAAAGAACTCGAATTTCTGAAATGATTGGTCAATGTTGACTTTGCCCCTATTTTAACGGTATAGCCTTTGTGTCCCATAGGAGTACGTTATCTATCTTCCTTTTATTTCTAAATCTTATTTTGCTGTTCTTGTCTGCTTGTAAGTCTGCTTTCATTTTGATATTAGCATGATTTGATATTCGCTTTAGCTCCAGAATAAAAATTGATTTGTTCATATATGTATAAATCAGTATTTTTTGTAACCATTCCACATTGATTTATTTATAAATCCTACCTTACATTTTTAGCGACTGTGCTTTTGAAACTTTTTCAGCTTAACTTAAAAATTATCATATTTTAGTTCTTCCTTTCTTCTGCGCCGTGGCTTAGTCTTCCAACTGTGCTTTAATCCCATTTATTTCTAGCAAACTCTTTAGATTCTTTTAATTTAAAATTGCACTCTGGGTCATTTCACAATTTTCTGGTACCGATACTTTTTATAAATTCATTTCCTCAATAGTTACACCTCTGTTTCAATTGCTGAGCAGTATATTTTTTAGGTTCCGCAGTTGACTTTAGCCACTTTCGTACCAATTCCTTGAATGCTTATTGCTATAATTTCTTCCGTTTTTATTCTCTCTGGGACAAATTTTGTTTAATTTGAAGCACAAATTTATCCAGCATGAAAATCACATGAAACAAGCGATTAGGACATTTACTTCTTAAGGTATCTCCCTTTGAATCATGCAATTAGTAATCACACTTTATCTAAAATGCTTTCCATTTCACGTGTTTTTGTATTATTCTCTTATTTTGTCATTTAAACCACCTGTTATCCACCTGCTCCATTTCCTAACTCCCATTATATTTCAAATCAGAATGAATCGAACATCATTTGTTCGTTTACCTGAAGAGAATTCAGTCTCCTCTCGTAAAAACGATCTACAACAAGAATCTTCATTTATGGGAAATAACAACGGCAGCCAAGGCTTAATTCACGATCCTCTGGCAAACTCCTCGAATGCCAATCCCTCTACTTCCTCTGGCTTTTCTTCTGTTCTCACAGCAGGTTCTCGGTTTCGCGGCCAGAAAGAGGTGGATATTAACAAGTGGGACGAGGAAGCCTCACAGCATCTCCTGACTATGAAGCGCCCTCCTGGTAATTTTTGTGACTTTCTGCGCCCTTGGAGACGTCTTTGTCGTCTTCGCTATCCACCACCTCCCCAGAAAATAGCTGAAAATGTTGAAAATGGCTTTCGACTACCTTTCGGAGTTGTTTGGTTTGTTAGGGACTGTGCGGGCTGTGTTTGTATGATATTCACATGGTTACTAATTCTCTATGGCGAATTTGTCGTCGCATGTATCATTCTGCCCCAAATACCCTCAGCTGCTATTGGCTGGACATTCGGAGTACTTTTTCATATCTTCGCATTCTTGGCTGCCGCTGCACACCTAAAGACTGTCTTTACGGACCCTGTAAGTTTGCCATCTGATACAATTATGTGATTCTCTGGTTAAATTTTTTTATTCACTTAGGTATTTCGAAACGTCTTTGTTAAGAGGAGGCATTTCCAGTCTTTTTGGGATGTTTCATTAGCTATTATGGTACTCAGGATTTTTATCATTATTTGCGTTATGTGTTCTTTACCGCAGATCTCGTTAATTGTTTTTTTATTGGCTAAGAATTGATCATGAAAATTTAAAGGTTTCTTTGGATTAAATGAGCCCTTATTAATTTGAATATTAATGATTTTCAAATATCAATCTCCATTTCTATTATTTATTGTGTGTGACATCTAACCATAATTTTGATTGAAATAGAATCCTTAGTCTAATCTATTTAAAAAATGCTCGCAATGAAATTATGTAAGATATAATTTGATTTTAGAATTAACTACTTCCTTACTTTAATTCTTCTACATTCCTCTTAAAATTGGAATTTGGTTTTGCCATTTTTTGAAAAAAATCATTTTTAATATCCTGCTTTTGTTCCTTTTGTTTTGAATTATGTCAAAATGACTTATTTTGTCAACAATGTTCACTGTCAGTTTAAGAATCACTTATATTCAAAATCTACTTGAACTTCTTCCTACTTATGCTTCTATGCTAATCTTATGGAATCATCTTATGTAGCAGTTACTCGTGTTACTTGTGGTCTGTAAGGGTTCCTTTTAAGCCATGGAAAATCGGGGTCTCTTTTGCTCTCATTGGCACTAACTGTTGGTTATAACAAGCTTGTGATACCACAGAGTTTGCTACAATGCAATCAATTTTTCTTTAAGTTCATTTAATCCTCCTTCAATAGCCAACTGAAGTTGGCAAATCGTTTATAGAATGTGGTCTCTAATGTTTATTCTTTTTGGTAACGTAAGTCTTTAATTACATTAAATCAATTAGTTTGCCCTCATTTTTTCTAATTTGGTTAATTACTGTTTACTTCCTTTTATCCGTTAAATGCACAATTGACTGGCTATATATCACTCGATATATATACTTAATTAAGGTGCAAATTATTGTCATCCGATGGATTTAATATCATTCTAGACTGATGAGTTCTATTTAAGAGCACCCTCATCAGTATAACCCCCATTTTTGTGAATGCGTCTCCGTGATACATTGGAGGTGACATATTTGTCAGTCCTTTTCCTAAATTGGGGATCTTTACTTTAGGTACTCGAATGTGGTTTTATTGTTCTTCATGTTTACACGTTTATCTCCTTTACTCCACAAGCTAGCTGTATTTGCACTCATTTAAATACGAGCACCTTATGTGTTAAAGTGCGTATTCTAGAAACTACCTGTAGTGCTATTTCAAGTTCAGATTAACTTTGAACTCATAGAAATTGCTAAGATTTTAAGAATGGTTGACAATAATTCACCAGACTGTTTGAGGCTAACATTTTAAATCACGCCTCTTGGTACCTCTTTTATTAGAAAGCTGTATTTGCCATTCAGGACTAATTAGTCCAAATCGTAATTTCATGAAAGGCATACTCACAGATATATGTGCCTATATACACATTATTGAAGCCATTAAATGTATCCTTCCCTTCTCTGCTGGTTTTTCTCTCCTTAAGAAGTGTTGGGATGTGATTTATTCTTAGTTTCTCCTTCAGGGCGCAATTCGGTTAGGCAATGCAACTCGAGAGGCCGTTATGCGGATATACCTCGTTTCTGGTTCAAACACTCCTCTCATTCGCTGCCCCAAGTGTCTCTGCATTAAACCTGAGCGAGCGCATCACTGCAGGTATGTCTTGAAAATATGACAGTTCATTAAAATGCAACTCAATTTATTTACTTCAAATGCCAGGCTTTATAAGAGTTATCATTAGGCATTCGGTTGACTTCGGGCTTCACAGAGGGTAGGAACATCATAATCACAAAATTCGAGGGGGAGGGGGACAGAATAATGATTCACAGACGTAAAAGAGACAGGCCTTCACAGAAGGAAGGTTCATCAAAGTAGCAGAAAGTCCAAGGGTTGAGGGAAGGTGCATCAAAGTAGCAGAAAGTCGAGGGGTAGAAGAGGGAAGGTCCATCAAAGTAGAAGAAAGTCAAGGGGTGGGAAAGGAAAATGAACATCAAAGTGGCAAAAAATCGAGAGGGGTAAACAGAAGAGTGATTCACAGATGTAAAAGAGACAGACAGACTGACACAAAGTGAGAAGAGCGATTAACAGATGTAAAAGAGGCAGACAGACACCAAGTTAGAGAAAAAGGTAAGGTGAGTAATGTGGAAGGCGTCGAAAATGACAACCAGGGGGGTCGTGGTAGTTTGAAGTCAGAAGTCAATTGCTGGCTAATAGACCTTTTTTGTCGCATGAGTATACGTTGCCCAGGGTGCACCACGTGGAGCTAAGTCTATCGCACACCCCGCCATTCCATTATCAAATGGCACAAAATGTGAGACCATTTTGGTGTATCGACCCACTCAGGCCCTAACAATGTAAGTTTAAAAACTATGCTACTACGAAAGCGCTCCACTTTAGTCTCATTATGAAGGTATGGTTTCGATTTTGGCATTGATTAACTTCCTTGTAAATACCTTGTCAATAAAAACTGTCGTGTGACTAAACAGTAATTGAAAATTTGAATTATGAAAAGCGGGAGGTGTTTATATGCGCTTATGGACACTAAAGCTATTCAAATCCGCCTCTCGTAAAATTGCCAACTTGGAAATGGAATTCCCTTTATAGATAGTGGATCCACCTATCTCTAAAAGCTAAGACACTGAGGCAAAACCCCAGTTACCTCACTCTTAATACCTACAGGTGATAATTTGTTCTAACCAAAATCAATTTGTTTCTTTGAACTTATCATTCACATCTCTCATGCAATATCATTTATGAGTATACTTTAATGTCATTTTCTTCTTTCTACGAAGAAATGTAATATTTATTTATTTATTTATTTCAAATGGCAGGCGTTTTGATAGGTATCATTAGCCCTGGAGCTGGCTTCAGGCTTCACAGAGAGGAGGAGGAGGAATATCAAAGTGACAAACAGTCGAGAGGGGGG